AAAGGTGAGTCCAGAGGCACGAAACGAATTTGTAAGAATGGAAGTATTCGAATCGTACCGAATTCACACAAAGGTGAGTCCAGAGGCACGAAACGAATAGTTAAAGGGGTGGGTGTCTTGAGGTCAACTCGTGAGAGTAAAAACGAGATTTTCGAATCTAGCGAAGGTCCCTCAGAATGATAATATATATATGGGGAAAGGAGGTCGTCGAGCCAAAACGAAATAAAAAGAAGAACAACGTGCGACTTACTACTGATAGCGGTCGTTGGTGGTCTTCGGTAGCTGGTCGAAGGCGGCTGGGCTTAGGCAGGTGTCACATTCGTCGGCCAGGTCGCGCACAGATTTTATTTGGAGAATATATACGGTGTTAAAGAGTAATGTAGACTCAAAACTCGGCGGATCGCGGAACTGTACGGTAAGAGTCGAGAGCTGCCAAAGAGGCTGAGGCAGCAGGCTCTGGGTTTATATATGATTTTTCGGGGGTGGATCTTGGTTATGGGACGTGGAAGGAGATTTTGGATATTGGGTTCTTTATTGGTGGACTATTGGGAGGGGTCAAGGAGTTGTCTTCCTTATTGGCAACCCGACCATTAAGTCGTTGTCGCCCTTAGATATTTATTTATGGGCATCATTTCCTTCAGCGACTTTCGAAAAATCCCGAGTTTCACTTTTGGGTCAAGTCTATCTCTTTTTTGGATCCCCTTTTAGTGTCTCGGATTGTAATATTTTAGAAATCTGAATTTTGAAATTGCCGTCTGGAAGGGCCTGATCCCATCTGTTTGCTGTTTCTCCCCTTTTTATTATTTCAACGGCTATCGACCAGCAACAATTAGGGCACTTCACGTTTCGAGTTTCGAAAAGTGAAACTCTGGCAATAAATTTTTAGTGGGGAGGGGACTCATGTGTTGGCTAGTCGATATCCGCTGATTTCTAAAATTGTCGTTTCAAAGGGAAGAAAAACATGTTTCTTACGGTATGTTGAAAGAGAGAAATCGTGGAGTCCACAGGACGTAACACCGTGCTAAAAAACGAATAATTGAGAAAGGATCTTTCAGAGAACATCTTATTGTTAACAGTGTTTCATCACATAACGGAAAACATATTCTATTAAACAGAATAATGAAAGATTGAAAAACAAAAACAATGTGTGAAAAAACAGACCAATTTTAGGAAAGGGGTAAGTGCCACAGTCAATGATTTTAGAAATGGGGTAACGTCTTTTTTCTTAAAACTTATTTTGCAGTGATTTTCTGATCATTGCAAAATAGGTTTTAAGAAAAAAGATGTTACCCCATTTTTAAAATCATTGACTGTGGCACTTACCCCTTTCCTAAAATTGGACTGTTTTTTCACACATTGTTTTTGTTTTTCAATCTTTCATTATTCTGTTTAATAGAATATGTTTTCCGTTATGTGATGAAACAGAGTGTTATCAATAAAATATCTATCAAAGCTAATGCCCGTGTTTTATTCATATTAACTTTAATAACTTTAAAATGACATTTTGCCACTTACCCCCTTTCGTATTTCCACTCTTCAATTGGCGCTGCGGTTTTTATTTCTCTGGAACCATAACCATGTCGACGGACAAATTCTTGGTGGCTCTTACGCAAAGCCAACAACAATTAGCAGAAGGTCAACAAATGTTAATACAAGAACTCGCTGAATCGCAAAAACGAATCCTAGAATTACTCTCCAGGCAAAGCGATGCGGCCTCAACCTCAACCCAGGCACGAAACGACAGCAACGTCGTGGAAGCTCCCGCTAAGTCGTCACAATTTTCTAACCTGGCTGATCGGCTCGGAAAATTCGTGCATGACGCAACAAGAGGTAAAACCTTCACACTATGGTATGAACGACACGAAGGCACTTTCATTGAAGGAACGAAAGGCTTAACAGAAGAAGAACGGAAGGAACTTCTCAATGCGCTTGGTGATGACGAATACCAGCGGGTATTGAGTCGTTTATCACCCAAGAAGCCGCATGATCTACAATTCGAGGATCTCGTGAAGCACTTAAAAAACAGTTCCATGATAATAAAACATTGTTCCAGCGACGTTTCGAGGCTCTTAACTTCCGTGCATCACCGCCCACGGCCATTGTCGAAATCTTAGACAAAATTAACGTTTTGGGGGATGCATTCGAAATTGATAATTTTAAAATTGATCAACTAAAAATTCTCCTAACAGCACTCACACTCAGTGACCACGCTTATCACACGGAGCGGTCAATCCTGTTCAAGATCGTCGCAGGAAAGAAAGATGTACATTCGATGACATAAGAGAAATATGCTATGCCCATGCTGAACGAACTGCAGATGTCATGCGCGTCGAGGATCATCAAATCACAGAGGTCAACGCTATTAAGAACACAACGAAAGCCCTAGTACTCAGGAAGCCTAAGGGGAAAGACTCCACAAACCCGAACAAACAGGCGGCGGACAAATCTGCAACGTTTTCTCCGTGTCGAGGATGCGGATAGAAGAGTCACAAACGAATGGAATGTCCGTACAGGGAAGTAATATGCCGTACTTGTAGCAAAATCGGGTACTTAGCTAAGGTTTGTTTTTCCAATAACAAAAGAAAAATTAATACCATTCATTTGCGAGGTGTTATAGGTTCCGGATACAAACATCGGAAGTATATAAACATACAAATAAACGGGAAAGCTCTAAAAATGCAACTAGATACAGGAGCGGACATAACAACCATTGGTACTAATCACTGGACACAAATAGGCAGACCAAAACTACAACGTTACGACAAGGCACGTACTAACGCTTCGGGTCATCGGATTCAAACCAAAGGATTTTTCTGCGCTACGTTCAGCTACAAGAATAAATCATCAAGGGGACCAATCGTCGTATTAAATCGTCCGAATATTGCACTCATTAGCGCACAAGCTATTGATGAGCTGGAGTTAGTTACTTACGATCAGGGAATTGTGAATGGCAAATCTACCGTAAACGAAATCAAGGAAGTTTCAGTCGAGAGTAAATATCCCGAGCTGTTTTCTGACAAGGTGGGAGAATGCTCAAAGGTTATTGTCCACCTTCGACTCAAACCAGATGCTCGTCCTGTTTACGCGGCACGCCGTCCCATAGCTATCCTCTGGCACTAGAGGAACCGCTCAACGCAGAGCTGGATCGTCTCGTCAGTAACGGAATCTTGACTCCGGTGGAATCATCTGAATGGGCTGCTCCCATCGTAGTTGTGCGAAAGGCCAATAACAAGATTCGTATCTGTGCCGATTACTCGACTGGCCTAAACCAAGCTCTTATCATAGATGTTCATCCACTTCCAAATATGGAGGAACTCTTAACAAAACTCCGGGGGAATACAATCTATTCTCAGTTGGACCTATCAGATGCCTACCTACATTTGACGCTGGATGAGGAAAGAGAAGCCTTCAATTGCGCACAGTACAATTGGACACGATGCAATTGCACACAGTGCTATTGAACACATAATGTTGCGCACAGTTCTTTTGCGCAGTTCTTTTGCGCACCGTTCATTTGGACACAGTTTTTGTGCGCACCGTACAATTGGACACCGTTGCTTTTGGACACAGTTTATCGAAATATAATTTAAAACACACAGACACACGCGTATGCATGTAGAGCCCTGTTTGGAAATTTTGCTAATTTATAAATAATAAATCTTTCTAAATCAGCGTTTGTTCAATTGTTCAGTTCTTTTACGCACAGTTCAGTGTCGCACAGTTCAGTGTCGCACAGTTCAGTGTCGAACAGTTCAGTGTCGCACATTTCAGTTTCGCACATGTCAGTTTCGCACAGTTTACTTTCGCACAGTTCACTTTCGCACAGTTCAGTGTCATTGCACATGTAACAGATACAAGGTGAAGTAATCAAAAATTAGAAAAACAAATTAAGTGAAATCAACTATTTTGTAAAGCAGAATATTCTTGTGTGCATCTACACTGTCTTAACATATCGGCCGGAAAAAGAGATTTAGAGAATTTACAGTCAAGTTTGACACTATAAAAGAATAACTCATAACGAGAGGTTAGGAAATCTGTCATAACAATCTTATGAGCTGCCTCTTCTTTTTCTCTCTTTCATCTTCTTCCTATGATTATACATTGGAAGTAATCGCAGCAAATCGATCAGCAAGAAATCGCAGTTGTAATCATAAATATATAAATATGTAGTTGAGCTTGATCAAACTGTGCGAAACTAAACTGTGCGAAAGTGAACTGTGCAAAAGTGAAATGTGCGAAAGTGAAATGTGCAAAACTGAAATGTGCGAAACTGAATTGTGCGAAAGTGAAATGTGCGAAACTGAAATGTGCGAAACTGAACTGTGCGGCACTGAACTGTGCGACACTGAACTGTGCGACACTGAACTGTGCGACACTGAACTGTGCGTGATTGAACTGTGCGTAAAAGAACTGTCCAATTGAACAAACGCTGATTTAGAAAGATTTATTATTTATAAATTAGAAAAATTTTCAAACAGGGCTCTACATGTATACGCGTGTGTCTGTGTGTTTTAAATTATATTTCGATAACCTGTGTCCAAAAGCAACGGTGTCTAATTGTACGGTGCCCACAAGAACTGTGTCCAAATGAACGGTGCGCAAAAGAACTGTGCGCAAAAGAACTGTGCGCAACATTGGGAGCTTTCCAGCAAGCGACACAAGTCGACACAAGTGTCGTTCTGTCTTTATTATTCATTGAATGCGAAGAAAGACCGAACGATATTTGTGTCGACTTGTGTCGCTTGCTGGAAAGCTCCCATTATGTGCCCAATAGCACTGTGTACAATTGCATCGTGTCCAATTGTACTGTGCGCAATTGAGCCTCTCCCATGAGGAAAGCCGACCTCTGACTACTATTAATACTCACCGGGGGTTATTTGCCTACAACTGTTTAGTCTTCGGTTTGAAACCTACACCGGCCATTTTCCAACATACATTGGAACAAGCGCTCACCGATATTTCTGGCATACTGGTCTATTTGGACGACATACTGGTCTGTGGCCGAGATCGTTCTGAGCACGAAAAGCGCTTGCATGCTGTCTTGAATCGATTTCAAGAATGGGGATTCCGACTTCGCAGTGAGAAATGCAAATTCCACACTTCAGTCGTTAAGTACCTCGGATTTGTCATAAGCTCAACAGGAATCAAGCCGGATCCAACACGGATTCAACCCATCCAATCCATGCGTACTCCAAGAGATACCAAGGAAGTTCGTTCATTCCCTGGCCTTGTAAATTACTATGGGAAATTTGTTCCAAACTTACATCGATTGAAAACAACATTCGAAATACTCTTAAAGAAGGATTTTCCATTCGCGTGGAAATCAAGTCAACAGGATGCTTTCAAAAGGATCAAACACATCCTAACGGGACCACTGTTACTGGCACACTATGATCCCAAGCAGAACTTAATTGTTGCTGCGGATGCTAGGTCAACTGGTATCGGAGGCGTTCTGTTACAACGTTATGCAGATACACAAGTTAAGTCTGTGTTTCACATGTCTAAAGGCCTATGTCCACGATACTAGAACTTGGTCCAAGTTGGGCGTATCCCGTTTGGACACGTAACGATTGGACACCGCTCAATTGGACACGCACTATTGGACACACATTATTGGACACCGAAATCATTGGACACCGCATTATTGGACACAAGCATTATTGGACACTGCATTATTGGACACCGCATTATTGGACACTGCATTTTTGGACACCGCATTTTTGTACACCACATTATTGGACACAAGCATTGCAAGTTTGGACACTGCATTTTCGGACACCGCATTATTGGACACCGCATTATTGGACACCGCATTTTTGTACACCACATTATTGGACACAAGCATTGCAAGATTGGACACTGCATTGGGGTTGTCTCGATTGCGCACATAACCGATCGGACACTGCAATATTTCCCGATCGGACACAGGCTCCATCGGACACAGGCCCGATCGGACACAGACTCGATCGGACACTCTAATGGGTTTTCAAGTGTTTATAACATGAAATTTAAGGCAAACTGTGACTCTAGATGGGTCGGGATATTTATATACAGAGTGATTCAAAATAGGTATAGTATCCCTGAAATGTCGTATTCCTGATTAAATTCTAAGACGATTTTTCTCTTACCAAAATGTTCTCCGAAGCTTAGTTTTTGAATTATTAAAAGAAATAGTCAGCAAATAACTGGCCGAGTACAAGAGGCTGACAGGAGCGGCGCACCGCCGCGGCACCCGGCGGCTTACGCGGGGCGGTCAGCTGAGCGATCAGCTACAGCGTTGCACACGCACATCTCTCTCTCTCTCTCTCTCTCTCTCTCTCTCTCTCTCTCTCTCTCTCTCTCTCTCTTTTACTCGCTCACTCACTCACTCACTCAATCACTGACTATTTATTTTATAAATGCAAAAACTAAGCTTCGGAGATTTGCACAGAGAAAACGTCTCGGAATTTAATTACGAATACGACATTTCTGTCACTCACTTACCCCGTAAAGATGCGACGACTTGGTGTTGTTGCAATTTCTTGAGAGACGGATCGACCAATATTTATTGTATCTTGCACGCACACACTTACGTTTCACTCACTCGAGCAACAATATGAGAAATGCTCAGCGAAAAATGATCTGTCGATCGATGTCGAAACGATGTCGAATCAACATCGAAACCATCAAATCGACGTCGATTGGACATCGTTTGTACGTCGATCGATGAGTCATTTCTCGCTGGGTGTAAGGCTAACTCTATTAATCACTCACTATTAATAACCACCGAGTAATTATTCGGTGACCAAAAAGCACTCGAGGAAAGACACGCACGCGATACACAACACGCTTCGAACGCGCAACATGTGTTTACTCGGCAAGCAGTCGACTGATTTTTTGTTATGATTGCGGCGCTGCACTCGCGGTGCGACTGCACTGTCGAAGTACATGAGCGTGTAATTGATTAAAGCTTAAGAATTGAGAACGTGGCAATTTGAGAAACATCAAATGTTGCGTATTTGACAATCGTTTTAAGATTAATTGGAATAAGTAGTAAATGTTTTCACTACTTTCAAATGTTTTTAGGCTGTAGTATTTGCAGGCACATTCTCCTTGCAATCAAATTCTATGCGTACATCCACAGTAGCGCTCTTGATAGACTCGTTCTGTCGCGCGCAATCGATGACTACGAAAGGTCCATTCGTCAAAAATGTGGTTACGGTGCAAAGCGTTTCATAGCAGTCGTATCCATAATAAGCTTTACGAAAACGTGCATACATGTCAAAAAGTATTGCGTATTTATTTTTTTGAAGTCTAAATTTAGGTCATCATATGGATAAAATTCAGAGTTGAGATAAAGTTTCACGTTGGTCAGATTACAGTCATCGAATACGCTCGCATCTTCAGACATGATATTCTTTCGGCCAGTCTGCAGAGCAAAGATAACATATCGCGGTTTCTCTAACTGAGTCGCTGATTTGATAGCCCATGAATGTCTGGTTGTGCTTTGCAATAGCGGGTACTCGTACAGTTCCCATGATCGGAAACTCATACTCAGATATCGTCCGCTTTCCAAAGCTTGTAGCAAAGATAGTTTATTGGTCTCATTCAACATAACGTGAGGCATTCGCCACTGTACTTTAAGTAGTTCAATTTCAGGTTCCGTCTTCGAATCTCCCTTGATAGAATTGTTGTCAGTGCGTGCTCGTATCAAAATCAATTCATGACGAGCGTTAATAACCACACGTTTGTAATCCTCACAAAAGCCTAAAAGCATGTTGAGCGGTACGCAAAAATTAAAGTCTCCTTCCGGTATGGCTGATGAAGTGTCCCATCCTGCATTTCGCAAGATCTGCGATTTGTCAAACGTTAGCGATACATAATTCTTGATAGTGCTGGTTATTCCAGCGTTTCTGATGCGATCAATCTCCACACCGTTGAGTTCGTACCGAATTTCGTCAAACATAAATGCCGCGCAATTATTTGCGAGAAAATTCTCCGCATCATTGTTCTTCTTCAATTTTCCTTCGATGTAGAGTAAGCTTTCACACGGTAACGTGTACAAATCCTGTTGTTGTATGGGTATCCGTATCTCATCGCTATGCCCAAACGTCGTATTGGCATACAGATTGTATGTATGAGTCTCAATTTTGACAATGCTATTGTCAAAGATCGGCTCGCGTCCAATATTCAAGATATCAGCCATTTCGTACTTTGAAGCCTAATGATTTCAAAAATTCAATGTTCGACGCAGTGAGTTTCTTTTTATCGGACGATGGG